TTGCCATCCCTGCCATGTAAGGAGGCACAGACATGGCTTTTCAAGGCTCAGAAAAGTAGTGTGTTTTGCACCAAGGGGAAGTGACCTGCCTCAGATCTGTAACATCTGTTGTTACAGATCTGTGTATGACTTCTCTCCAACTTTGAATTCAACATGCCTTGTCAGAGTGCTGGAGATGGGAATAGAAAAGGGGTGAATTCGAGGTCTTTCCCTGCTGCATGGTAAAAAGAGGCTCTGCTCCTCCTGCTTGCCTTCACCCCAGGTAAGGCCTGTGGATGCCTTTCCTGCAGAGAGGCACAAGGAAGTATTTCAGAGCTCCTGTGTGCAGTGCAGACAGGTATGAAAAACCTGGCCTAAGTGTGAAAAGACAGATTATAGTGAAGAAAAAACAACAACCCAACAAAAACTTGCACAGCTCCCAGAAGTATGCTATTGAGGACTCTATTTGTCATCTGCTGTATAACAGAGTATACATTTTGAAACAGGCTGGCAATTCCATTTCATTCACTCTTCTCTTTCCTATTCCACAAGTGTCATTGAAGGCAAGCAGCAAAGTCACCCTCTTCATGAATTTCTCAAACTGAAATGCTCTCCTGAGGATTGTTATCCTGCTGCTATGTGATCTAGTCTAGAAGGCTGCATGTACGAAATTAAAGAGAGCTCAATGAATCAAAGCTGAGAGACTTGGTGCTGAGATATATAATGAGCACAAGAGCACATGAGGCCCAGTCCTGCTCCCACAGAAATGAGCAGCAAGGGTCTGATTCTGATTTTGCTGATCCAGCTATAAATCAAGAGAAACTTCACTGAAGCACACATGAGTAAAAAGTGAACAAGCAGTCTTTCAGCCACTAAATTCCCAACATATCATGCACCGTATTTTGTACAAAACATTGTCCCAGCTTGACTTTGCCTGCATGGCCATCCTGAGACAAAATGGTGAGGATATATTCAAAGTGTGCCTTAAGAGAAAAGCAGATCCAGCAGAGAAGTGGGCTAGCAGAGCCCACTGAGCCCCCACCAACTGCCCAGCTGAATTAAAAAGAAACAGGGAGTCTAAACTAAGCAAATGTATTTCTCTTCCCCTCTGTACTTCAGATCCTCCCGAGTCCTGAGCTGGAGGCAGGTTTTGATGACCAGATGCCTGTTAAGAGATTCCATAAAATTTTATGTGTTTATGAGTACTGTTTATTCAAGCAAAATTGACAGTGCAGCTGAAAATCCCTTTGTATATTAAGACTTAAAACAAGAGAGCATCAAGCCACAATATGTTGTAAGAGCCAAAAGATTTTCATCAGGACTTGTTAGAATTGCAATGGCAAGGAAATTAATTAGTTGCAGCAGAGTGGTAATAGTGGTTTGGAGGGGAAAAAAATATAAATGGTATTTTTGTTAAGGCATGGTATTCATCAGAACAGCAAGGCTGAAACTTTGAGAAAGGAAATTGCCCATATTTACAAGAGGAATGCATGATTTTCTGATGTTCTTTGTAAATAGGATTGCACCAAAAAAGATCATCACTACTGAAGAGAATAATTGCACCCCTATCTTATCACCTTTTTATCTTTTTAATGAGAATTGCCCGGCAAAGAACCATACACTGTGTCACAACACTGCCCAAAGAGGATTTATGTTTGAGTAGTGACTATGTATTTGTAGCCTATTATTACTAGACACTATAAGGACCACTAAACAAAAAATGGTCCCTGTCCCAATTAACTTTTAAATCAATTACACAACTCCTTTTTTCTACAAGCTAAAAGATGCAGTAAGACACAGACTCTTGTCTTGCTAACTGTGGCTTGTTTGTTTTTATTTCCCATCCCAGGGCTTTAGGGAGTGTATTTCTGCTAAGTATTTCTGCAGCTGTTCAAAAGCAATCTGACTGCACAATGCAGTATCTGAATAATTGTCTCAGGTGACTATTAAAGTCTGCTGCTGCCCCATAAAGCCACGAGGAGCAATCTTGCACCACAGCAGAAAATATCCAAGAGCCAACCCTGTGGAGTATCATTTCTGTTAGGAGAGAGCTGCTGCAACTGAGTGGAGATTCAGGAAGGCAGAAGGAGCCCAGGGAAGGCTCTGGACCTTAAACTGTTTCTTTTCTTGCCGACTAAGCAAAGCTGCTGATTGCTAAATATTGAATTGTCTGTATTCATCCCCAGCCAACTGAAGTCAATGGATAGACATGGAGGAGGACTTTAACCTGCTACACGTGGAATGTTTGTCTTTCCCTTTGCTTCTTTGTCTCTGTTTAAAGCCTTTTATACACTGCATTAAAGGAACCCCTTTAAAGCCTAAAGTATGGTAATATAGTTTAATTGTGGTTGGTTGGGCTGTTGGGGATAAAATGAATGGGTTCCAAGTAATTTTTGCTGCCTCTAAACTTGGCTCTTCACAGAGAGCTGGAGGAGGGGAGATTACTAATAAAAATAAGTGTGCTACCTGGGGAAGCTCTGCATACTGCAAAGGTACTGTTAGACTAGGCCCTACAGTTGCAGAAAATTGATTTTTTAAAGCAGTGACATTTGCCTCACATGGACTATGCAGCCTGCCTCTTAACCCTTCTGTAGGAACAACTCACATACAAATGTAACTCTCAGACAAGCACTCTCCAGGCACTCTTTTCTAACTTAGCAAAATCTACTCACTTTGCATTCATTACACAGCTCCTCTCAATCTGGGAGTTGGACACAGCTGAATGGTTGGAGGCAGAAATCTCATGTCTTTCTTTCCTGCAGGATGAAAATAGACAGTCCAAATTTGGGGGGCTTGTTTCTTCTCCCTGCATCCTCTGATGTAGAACTTCCACTGAATCAAACACCAGTCCACCAGGTAGTAAGAGCTGCCTGTTGGAAGGACAAGTGATTACTACTGATCAATATGTCTCTTACATGGAACATTTAATTCTTTGAGATGGTTATTCCTCAAAAATAACCATCTGGGCAATAATATCCCTCCCCTTCCCTGCCTTCAGCTTTTACAATCATCACCAAAATGCCAGGCAGAAGCTTCTCTATAAGCTAAGCATGGTTTACATCCCATTAGTGAGATATATATATATATATATATATATATATACACAAATAAAACATTAAGAAACTCCAATTTTAGAATGTGCAAGGATCATTTAGCCTATTGACATTCAACTGTGATATAAATCCAGTTAAGAGTAACAGAAACGAAAGGTTCAAACCATTCCAGAGTAGCATAGAAACCTCATGAGAAAATGAGCTTGCTTCAATCCACAGGGCTCTTTTACTGCCTTACATAAATAGGTACATCTACACAAACAGTACAAATGTAGGAGGTGGGACAGCTTCAGAAATCAACTTTATAACTTTTAACAATTTATCTATAGACATACTAGGCCTGTCTGTTTGCAGGTATTTCCAATAACTGTAAAGCTATTGCTTGTTTACTTACAGAAATATTTTGTCTGCAGAGATAAGTTAGCAACTTCTTGCTAGATACTTTTTATCATCTCGTCCTCTCAGTAGCTCACTCAAGCCTTCTGTGTGCAGTTGGAATGTCACTGTGGAAAGAAATCTTCCAGTCTGGCCTCCAGCTTTATAATTTCCTTGTGTCTCTGGAGTAGAGAGGTAGTACAATAACAAGTAAAACCCACTGGACTCTTATATAAAATGATCAGAACCTCAATGTTTTAAAAATCTCTACACTGTCATTTCAATCTGTGAAGTGAAATTTGAAAAGTGTTCTGCTTTTATAGTGAATACTTCCTCCTTCTGCCACTTCAGTGTTACTTTAAAGGATTACATTTTGTTCTTTGAGCTGTGTGAAATAATGTTTAACAAATAACTCTCTCATTGCATTATAAAAGAAAGTTACTAATGCAAAATCTGTTTTATGGGCATATATCATCTTTCTTATGTCCTTTAATGGTAATAATATTTTGCTTTCCTAACCAAAACAATTATACAGCTCAAATAACATCACAAAAGCTGAGTGAAGCTTTCCCCTCCAGTTCAGCATGGGGTTTTAAACACCTCACCACACAGCTGCAAAGGTGGTTCTGTGCTGTAGACTTATTTTCAGAATCAACAGGGCTCTTGCAGTATTCTTACGCAGTGAAAAAGGAATCAAGGCAAAAAAAAGTCCATGTATAGACCTACTAAAAAGGTTTTCTGTATGCCCACCAATCCCTTTCTGAGTTGTTCCTCAAGTGGGACATCAAGCTGGTAGGGCACAGATTACAGATAATTTTCCTGTGTTGTACTATTTGTTATGATTGCTCTGCGCCTGACTTTTGATCTGGAAGATTTTAAACAACTTTAGATGATAACTTGAAAATGATCAGTAAATGAGCTTTGTGGTGTTCTCTGTACAATGTATAAATGATGTATAGTTGGGCATATAGCCAGCAGATGTAACCACTCCTGCACTTTGTGGAGTTTGTACCTTTTTCTCTCACTGCCTCTTGGTCACCACCCACTGTGACTGGCCAATCATTTTCTACTGTTTCTGTCTCACAAGTGAGCGTGTGGAATTCTGAAATAAAAAAAAGGCAAATTCCAATACAGAGAACTGTTGTCCTCTAAACATTGGCATGGATAAAAGATTGGATGGACACTGCTGTTTCAGTGCTAGAAGCTCTACTAAAAGGCAGCTTATGCCAGAGAAGTCTTCACTGAGCTATACCAGCAGGAACCATTCCCAAAGGATCCTTTCTTGCTGTTTTTGAAGCAGGTCCCCAGAGAAACCAGACAGCAGCTTGAGACCTTCTGAGGAAGTGTGTGAATCACAGCAAAATTACATAGGTGTCAACATTTAATATAGTGAAAGTGCTTGCAAACCAGAAGGTGCAGGTTTTAATAGAGCAGCACAAAAAATTATTCTAGTCCATCATACTGTACATTTTTGTAACCATTTCCTTGTAGTATTTAAAGAGCATTTCAGATTTTAAGTTAAAATATGGATTGGATATTTTGTTCATGATCTGATTAGTGTTGACTGTAATGAATGGGCAAGGAGACCAGCTCCTTTTGAATGCCTTTATTGAAGTGACCAGCTCTGGGTGGGGGCCCGAGGGGTCGCGCACACCGCCGCTGCTCCCTGTGGCGATGCAGAGTAGTCAGTCTTGCTGTGCAGCAGAACTGGGGCTTCCGTCCTCACGGGCGTGCCTGGGAAGACGCTTCTGGGCTCGTCGACTAGGGTTTTTGCTCTCAGTTGGCTCTTCTTAGGTTATGGTGACGCTTCGGAGATGATTTGTAGTGCTGGTAAGGTAGAGGGGCTCCTTCCCGATCGTCAAAGTCAGTTTGTTGTTCAAGTTTTAAGTTGGCTCGTTGTCTTCAGGGGTTTTTCGGAGTTTTTGGTTACTGTCCTTAATTTCCATATCCCCAGAAGTGCTCTGGTTGCCATTTTGGGGAGCAGCAGAGGTAATACCCAGTGGTCGCAACATGGATGACAGGTACAGTAAAGGGGCACAACATGGAGAGATATAAGGGAAACATCAATGGGGGTTTAACAAATAGTAACAGTCTTAATTAACACATTTAACCTTTAATCCCTTAACTTCCTTCAACTAATGAACTTGTTCATAACATTGACCAGTTCTCTGCAAAGCACTGGTTTATTTCACAGAGCAGACATAATTTGCCAGCTTTACTTGAAGAAAAATTGATTTACATTATCAAGGCGGTGGCTAACAAGTGCTTGAGGTGTGGTGGAAATGTACTGTTGCCACCTTCTTTACCACTCTAATTATGGTGAATAAATGGAGCCAGAGAAGGAGACAGGACAGAACAAGTCTCATCAATACTTGCTTCTCTTTTGCCCACCCTGCAGTTAAAAGAGAATGACTGCACTTATATGGCCTTTGGGGAGTATCCACTCCTTGCTGGAGGTTAAATGAAAAACTCTTTTATTCCTACTTTTATGCTGACCCTAAACTCGTGTCCTGATTCTACTGTCTCTGGCCATACAGATAGCTCTTCAAGTCAATGGGAAAGCTGTCATGAAAAAGGGTTGCTGACATGAATGAGGCTTGCAAGATCAAGCCCTTTATGATCAGTACAACCCTGGGCTCTGGGCTGAAATGGCATCCCTGATTTACAGGAGTAATCCCATTAGCATTGGGGACAATTCACACAAGTAAGGACTGTGGGAATGGGCCCCTCAGGAGCAACTATCCCTGCAGTTATGTATCCAGCCTCACTCGGATCACAGCCGTGTCCAAATGTTCTGCAGGCACTTTATACTGTAGAGAAGAAAATAGACCTTGGGCACAAGTTCACTTCTGCTTTACAGGCTGCGGCCTCACTTTGGCACTCTTCTTATTCTCTGCCCTCAAAGAATTTCCCTCTAAGGACCTTTTAAGTGGTTCAGAGTCTGCAAGAAATCTTGGCTTCTCTCAATTTTTTCTTTTTTCCCTCATTTGTTTCAGTCTTACTTTAATTTTTTTTTAATTTCTCCTTTTCAGTTTTCTCTGTTTTTTTCTGATTTCTTTAAAAAATATTTTCCTTTTATTTTTTACCTCCCTGTTTTCTTTTACCTTTTCTTTTTCTCCTTTCTCTTATCTTCGGTTGCCATCTCCTCATTTTTTAAATATTTTTCTCTTTTTTCTATTTTTTCCCCTTCTCCCTTCCTCCTAATCTTCTTGCTCAGAATTAGAGGTATTCAAAAAGGGTTTTGTCTCAAAAAGGTGATTGCCTCAAAATTCAAAGACTGGGAGTATAGCAGCTTTCCTAGTTTCCAAAGTGCCTTTTCAAAATCCCATAAATCAATATGAATTTCCAGAATCTGAAAAAACTGGAATGTAAAATCCAAAGGAAAGCATGGCAATAGTAGAATTAGAATAGTAGAATTTCTACATGCATTTATGTTTCTTTTTATAGCTTACCTACAATGAATTAAAATCACTTTTCCCCTGGTTTTCTGTTGTTTCCAGGTGTAGTTCTGAGAACTTGTGTAAACCAATTACCAGCTTTTCTTCTCAAGTATAATAAAGTGTGTTTAGTTTTACTGTTAACTTCATAGGTTTATCTGCTTTTTAAACTGACTGCGGGTAAGGATTAGAATGCCAAACAAACAAAAAGGTGGCAAGAGAAGATAATTACAGTTTTATTTCAGTCACACTCTGTGATCATGATGTGCATTAAGTGTGGTAAAAAAACTATGAAGACACAATTCCTGTCTTAAACTAAGGCATGAGCTGCAGAAATTCCTCTGTGTTTTTTGACATAAATCCATTCCCTGGGATGGACCCAAGCTCCTGTGAGTATTTTTGCTGATTTCAGCAGAAACACTATTTGCTGTGTTCTTAGTGAGAACAAAGGTTGTTGAACCCAACTCCTGCCAGCATTTCAAAACAGTTCTGATACTACAGCTCTTGCTCAAATGAGTTTTGTTGTGTTTTATGATTTTAAGAAGAGTTACACAGGAATTTGAGATGACATGACAGGACATGACGTGAAGCACAGAAGCAACATCAGTGAGCATTGAATATATGCACCTAAGAGTAGAGATTTCTCCATAAGAATGTAGCATTAAAAATTGTATCCCTTTCATACTGTGTACACATCTTTAGGATTAGTTTTGAACCCTTTCTGAGTACATTTGTATCTATTTTTTTCAGTCTTGCTTAGTCAAGCATTGCTCCTGTTGAAGAGGAGTGCTGTGGGGATAGCATAATTCTCTCTGAAGAACCACTGGGAAGCTCAGACACCAGGTTCCCTCTGTCCATCACATTGTGCCACACTGGTAGGAGCAGTCTGTGGCCAGCTGCTAAGTTCCTGAGTTTTCTGGTTCACTTTGCAAAACAACATGATGCATATCTATTGGAACAGTGCTGATGGCTTGGCAATACAAGCAGCTTGGCAATACAAGTTTAATTTTCTTGCCCTTTGGTAAAAGTTAAGGCCCATCAGAATGTGAAAAATGCCAATCACTTGTTTAAAATTTTTTAAAGTTTAATAGTAATAAAATAGTTATAAAAATAGAGTAATAAGAATTTGGAGAATCAGAGTTAGGACAATATAAAACAAAGAAATATGGACTGTCCCGGTGCCTTCCTAGGGCAATGAATCCCTGAAAGCACACACCCTAACAAAGGATAAACCCTTAAAGCAGTAGCTTGTTGCATATTCATATATGTCATACATGATGCAAAAAATTCTTTTCAAAGGGTGTTCTCTGGTTATTGTCAACTTCTTTCCCTTAATCTTAGTGGCTCCTTAAAGACGGAAAGGAGATGGAAGAATGTTTGTCATTTCTGATAAGGAGGCAGTAACTCTTAGGTGTCTCGTTGCTGTTATCTCTGTGTGAAGAATTTCTTGACTATTCTCATTCCTTTCCTGAGCTAGTTAAATATCTTACACCGCGTAGTTTCTATTTTAACATTATGTTACAACCCAAAACTGTATCTTAAAGAAGGTTAATACAACATTACATATATAGCATTCCGTTTAATATTTGCGAAGAGCCAATAATTTAATATACATTTTTCACAAGAAGAAGGGAGGGGACAAACCCTGAGACTTTTAGGCGAGCTTTGAGCCCTCTTGGGAATTGGCTATCACTAAGAGCGGGCCACAGCCTTTGCTGTCCAAGGGTGTTGAGACAGCAGAGCTTTTCCTCGCTCCTTTTCACACCTCCCCCTTCTCTCTCTCCCAGCTTTGCGGACTCCGGGCCTGACCGGCGCTCCCGCGGGGCTCCGTGAGGGCGGCCCGGGCGGGTCCCGCCCCCGCGGCCGGCGGGCGAGGCGGGGTCGGGCCGGGCCGAGGCGCGGAGGCCGCCGGGGCGCAGCGGGGCCGGGATCGCCGCGGGCACGGCCGAGGTGCGGGCACGGCCGAGGTGCGGGCACGGCCGAGGTGCGGGCACGGCGGGAGCCAAACCCACCGCGGGGGGACCCGGGCAGGCGGCATCTCCCGCGGGGCCGGGCCGGGAACCTGCGGCTGGATTGGGAGCGGAGCCTGCGCTTGGAGAACACGGCGCTCGGAGAAGTGGCGTTTGAAACACGCACAGACAAGTGAACCCCCCTGTGGGCCCGCGGTGCCGGGACACGCGTGGCGGGGGCGGCGGGAGGGTCTGAGCCCGGCCGCTGCTCCGAGCGGAGTTGTGGAGACGTATTATTATTATTATTGTTATTATTATTATTACTACTATCACTCACGCATCTCGAGCTGTTTGTAACCGTAATGAGCATACCCCGTAAAACCCCGTGCTGTTACGTACTTGGGGTGTGTTTGTGCGGTTTCTGCTGGTGCTGAAGTGCCGAGTTTTTGGGCGCCCTTCCATTTTGTGCTGAGGGCAGGTCCTGGGCGCTCCCGGAGCTCGGAGGGCAGCGAGGGAAAATGGGAAAATGTGGCGGGGCTTTTTGCTTTGATACAAAGTTAAGACTAGCAGGACAGTTCTGTTATGTTTACAAGACTGTTAAAATGAATAGGAGCAGTTACTGTCCATTTGTGAGAAGAGTCTTCTCCAAGTCGCTGTCTGTCTTGGGCACTGGACTGTAATGAGAGAGGAGGCAGCGTTACATTTAATTAATTTCCCACAGACCCTGTGCTAGGTCCAGTGACCCAAGCACTGTTTTAGAAAGGATAAAAGAGGGAGCAGAATCCCATCTCCACGGCAGGTCCAGGCAAGGCGAGCTTTGTTTTTGCTGGGCAAACAGCTGCTCCCACTTCCTCACCGAGGACTTGCCTTTAGAGCAAGTCTTCCATAGTGCTCTTTGCTCATCAAGTTCCTCTTGTTTGGCAATATCTGGCTGTGCTGAAAGCCAGATGAGAGGTTGTTAAAACTGTAATCAAGTGAGTATTAACATTTTCATGACTATCATTAAAATTCTATCACAGGAAGTAAGCTGTAACAAAAAAATTCATTCATTTTGGTCTCTAGTGGAGCTAAGACATCCTAGTTGTATGGATTCCTAGTCACTAAATGCGTGGTTGAAACTCTTGGTGAGGCAAAAGCCTGAGTTGTGCAGGGCAAAAACTGAATGTGCACGGGGATGTGCTTTTTTTTCAACTGCATTCACTCCTCAGCACCTCTTAACTTTCTGGTATCAACATAAAAGGTATTGCCTCCATAGGATTTGGTATGGTCTCATTGGAAAGAGACTTCATTAGTTTAAACCTCCCATGGTAAAAGCAGAAATAGTTCTCTCCTTTTTGTCATTACAACTTAATCTTTGCCCGTGAGTCATGCTAAAAGCAATTTTTAAGAACAAGGTCTCAAAGGGGAAAAATGCATGTTCAGCTCGGTTTGATCACAAGTTACTGCTGGGTAGGAAGATACTAGTTAGTTTGAAAGCTGAAGTGCAATTATAATTTTGTCATTTTTGCACACAAAAAGGGTAGGCAATACTAATTTTCCTCTTTACATTTCACAGTTCATAGTATTGTCACATACTCCTTCTATCCTGGTAACTGCTTAGGGAAATTTGCTAATTCAAATGAACTGGTCTAAAGTTGGTCTAAGTCCTTGTGTTATTTCAAAAGAGTACTAATTTCTGTGACTAAGTGTTGTTTGTGCAATTACATTAAATATTTTGGTAATTTGTACTTTGACAGTTTAATAAGCACTTATAATGGAAGCAAAATACTATAATTTATCATCTTAAGGTATTATATTATGCTTTTGTGGAAAAAAATGGTAGAAAATTTAGAAAATTATTTAAAAAGAAACTTTTCACAGTGGCAAAATGATGTTTTTATTGCAGTGATGCTAAAAAGCAAGGCTATTAACACAGTGTTGTTGTCAGAACTTTGGATTGCAATGATGTTAGCTTTAACTAACTTTAATGTTTTTTAGAGGTCATCAGTGAGAAGGGGAGAAATGGCCAAATCGACCCAGCTAATTGACAATGAAGTCTTCAGGGCTTTTGCTACTTACACAGCCATTGTTCTTCTAAAAATGATGCTAATGAGTCTGATAACAGCATACTTCAGGATCACAAGGAAGGTAATCTTTTGGAAATACTGGCTGGGAGAACAGACTGACATTTGTATTGAAATACAGAGATATCACAGCTATGTCTTTTTTCAGCTTCCAAATACTGCTGCTGTTCATTTTCTTCCTCCTCCCTGTTCTGGAGAGATTCTGAGTTTGGTGGTCTCAATTGGATGATGTTTTCAACCTAATTACAAGATAATTATGAGACTAAATTATACTTGAATTTGACTTACCCTACTCTTCTAAAACAGTTCTGTTATTTTTAAATAAGAGTTTTTCATAACTGTAATTTCCATTGCCTTCTGCAGAAAGCTCATGTCCAGGGTATCCAATTTATAAAGAACTAAAAGTGTGATATGGAGCCATATTGCATGAATAACTTAACTGGTAGGGTCAGAAGAGAGGTTAGATTTTTATTCATCTATAGCCCTTTCATCCAATAATTCAAAAGTTTTTTGCATTCCCTAATTATTATAGGAAGAGGTCTAGAAAAACCTTGTTTTTCTAGAGTGAGAGGGAGGCTGCAAATTGGATTTTCAAATTTGAAAATATCTGAAAACATTTGAAAATATTTGTGTTTATTTGAAAATATTGTGGCTTGATATTTGTGCTAGATAATAATATGAAAGATTCACTGAGGTTTACTAAATAATGTAGAAGCTGCATTTACTTTAGAAGAAAGTGCTCATGGGAGATGTGTTGTGTTTGCCCTGTTCTTGGTCTTCTCTAGGCATCTTCTCATGGCCTCTGTAGGAAACACTTAGTCCTGGGCTGAAGGAGCTCTGACTGTGCCTCATATGGCTGTTTTTGTGCGTTCTGCTTCTGCAAGATGGTCTGTGCTTCAAGGATTTTGGTGTAGTCCTTTGGTTGAAATGCTGTTTTTTGTTCCTGCTTGTTGCAGGAGAACCCAGCTGAACTGCTCCAGGTGGATGCAGATGACAATAGGATGGGCCCTCAGTAATCTGCAGAGTTTGGTTTCATTGTGTTAGTAGTATTACAAACAGGGAAAAATAGTGAAGTAATTTTAATTTTCTATTAAATATTAAAAAAGTCTTGAAAGTGAAAAATGGGAAAGGAGTGAAGCAAGAGAATGTAAAATGTTGCTGATACACTGTTAACACAAATCTAGAATTCTGAGGCTGAGGATATTTCACAAATAGGGATCAAGGCTGCCCTGGAAAGCAATCACATAGCTCTTGTAAAATCAGAATATTTTCTTGACTTATATCTGCATAGCCTGTGCAGTCCACACAATGCATATGTAACTACATGTGTGTCAGCAGGGAGAAATTGACTGCAGTCTGCACTGCCTGAATTAAATGTTTTCAAATAGTGTCTTGCAGTGTTTTGAGGTAATAATGGATCATGTAAGTGTAAGAATTTGTACCTAAGAGGAAAGGGACACACTTCCTTGGTCATAAATGATAATGGGAATAAGGCTATTGCTCTGTATACTTCTGCAGAAAGAAGGGATCCAAAAGCACTTTCAGATAATTTGTCAGGAATGGTGAAAAAGAGACTTGAGAGCTCCCACCTTGTAGGTGCCGATGTTCTGTCAGCCTGCTGGCTTTACTGCAGGCTTGTCCATCTCACAAGGTTTTGTCTAAGTGCATAAATTGCATTGCATTAATTTGTCAGCACACAAATGTACAGGCTGGGCTCAAGAAAGCAGTAATGCAGCAAACATTGTATAATACACTGTGCTTTTAACTTCAGGTAAGTTAAGTGAGGTATTGAGGTAAAAAGAGTGACCTTTATAGCAGTCTGCCTTGACTGGATAAAACATTTTGGCTGCTAATGTCACTTGTGTTCTTGTGTTTGAAACAGGCATTTGTCAACCCAGAAGATACAGAAGCATTTGGAAAAGGGGAGAGTGCTAAGAAATTCCTGAGGACTGATCCAGATGTTGAACGTGTACGCAGGTAATACACAGGAACCTGAAGAAGTTATTTTAAATAACAGAATAGTATTAAATCAAGGAGTTGGTTTCACCCCATTCTCTGTCAAGCCTGTGTGTGTTTTATGGTGCTTTATGTAGCAGTTAATACATTAATTAGTTTAAATGAACAAACCATTCCACATCCCAATGGTCAGTGTGCATGCTAAAACCAATAAGCCGCTGTCTGGTTATAATAGCTGTCTCTTGGGTAGTGTCCTGTCTGCATGGGCAAAGTGGTGAGAACACTGTAAAATATAAGCATAAGTTGGTGTAGCTCATGGCAAAATTTTCTGTTTCCAAAGTCCTAAATTTCAGGATGCTGTTTGATACACTTGTGCTAATAAGGAAAGCTTTAATTGAATACCTTCCATGCTTCCTTGATGAAGCTAAGTTTATTTTTATACCAACAACTTGAATGTCAGTCAGCTCTTCATTTAAACCTCCATTAGGGAAGATCTTGAAAATATATACCAGTGCTGTTTTAAGAACACTGCAACCTTGCAAATAATGGCTGTTGTTTCACAAAGCATATTTCTGTATGTCTCTTATGGATTAAAATCTCAGAAAGAAGAACCTAAGTGGGCTGTAAAGATGTTCTGCTCTTTCCATTTCTGCCCGTGAGTAGTTCAGGGAAGTTGTTGCTTAATTCCATGGGTGTTACATAAAAGTGTAAACTTTCATGGTGAGGGGCAGTTCCTTTCTTTTAAATTGTGAGCGGCCAGCTAAGTTGAGGCTAAGTCTATGATCCATTTAACTCAAATTGTTGTGGTAGCCACCTCAGTAATTTTCACAGAATGGATTTTTCAAATACTAAATTTTCAAATTCTGTTTTGCTGCTTTGTAGAGTTTTTCAGACATCCCCAAACCTAGTAAGTAAGCTTGGTTCTAGTTGCACTGTTGGTGTTGCAGCATCCATGTTTTCCTTCCAACTGTGGTTCTTAGTGGAAGTTTAATTTATTTTCTTCTGCAAGCTTCATGGCAACAGATAATGCCACATAAATTTAGCATGGCTTCTCTTCTGTATATATGCTGGAATGTGTTTAGTTTATGGGGGAAAAATAGATTTTTTTTCAAGAAAAAAGATTACTTTCTTCAGTGTACTTTTATGGGGAATGAGAATAAAAAATCTGGAGGTATTTGCTTCCTTGTAATTATAAATATATTCTAAAAGCAGCTGCAAGACAGTACCATGACCTGATTCCAGTTGGCTCTGAAATTTGACATCATTAGTAAAGCTTAGACACTGTTTCAATCGGTAAATTGGGCTGAAAGTATAATTTATATAAAGAGGTGAAGGGAGCTGGGAAGATTTAGGAAAGAGTGTGAAAGAACACTTCAAGATCTGGAGTTCAGTCTCAACCCATTTTTAGTAAATTATGGTTTCAAAATTTCAAACATTTTTTCAGCTATTTTAGTGCTCAAAGTGAAGAAAATGAATGAAAAGCGTA